TTCTCTGAACTATTCAAAATTTCTGCTACCAGTTCTCCAAACTATTCAAAATTTCTGCTACCGGTTCTCCGAACTACTCAAAATTTCTGCTACCTGTTCTCTGAACTATTCAAAATTTCTGCTACCAGTTCTCCAAACTATTCAAAATTTCTGCTACCGGTTCTCCGAACTACTCAAAATTTCTGCTACCTGTTCTCTGAACTATTCAAAATTTCTGCTACTGGGTCTCTGAACTAATCAAAATTTCTGCTACTGGTTCTCCGAACTACTCAAAATTTCTGCTACCTGTTCTCTGAACTATTCAAAATTTCTGCTACTGGTTCTCTGAACTATTCGAAATTTCTGCTACTGGTTCTCCGAACTATTCAAAATTTCTGCTACCGGTTCTCCAGAACCTGTCAGAACCTGCTGGATTTCACCCCTGCTGGAACCTCAAAGAAAAGGTCAAGTGGGCCACTGTTTATTGGATTTGCCCGTATGCCATGATAAGCCACTAACAATCAGGGTTGAATTTACATAGCCATGAGTGTCCATGTGAGGTTGACAAAGTTAAGATGGAAGCTCTGGCTGTACAATTGAAACCCCATCTAATTTTTACATGTGACATGCATTGTAAAAAGGGGCAGGGCTTTGTCACCACTGTTTTAATGTATTTTTTTGACACTTCTGTGGATGTCCCACTCTCTGAGCCTAGGTGAAACTTTTGCTGGTGGATTCTGCCATTGTCCTTTCTGTAATAGAATAAAATTGGCCAAGTGTGATTGGACACACAAGGATTTTGTCTTTGGTGCAGATGCTCTCAGTGTACATAAAAAAGACAAGGTACATTCATCAAGAATCATAAGGTGCAACACTTAATGATAGTCATAGGGTACAAATTAGCAATCGGGAAACAATCAAATGTAATAACTGGAGTGTTGATATCTGCCAGAAAATGAAAAGCTATGTTTTTTATTTGATGATCATGCCACGAATCTCTCTTCAAAGATTGCTGCATTGTTTATGCCTGCAATATGGACATCCTAAATTACAATTAATAACTGATATTTTTCTTTCTTTCTCTATTTTCAATGCTTTAAGCCATCTAACGGAATGTGGATCACCGCTAATCATATCGTATAAACATCACTGTATTGAATCAATACAATCTAACGTGATTTATAACACTGTAAATCAAAAGGAAAAATAAATAAAAGGTAGCTTTAATTGCAGCCTATTTCAACAGTTATCTCTAAGTTTAAATTTGACTCAGGCGTGGAGGCCTGCAGGCTTTCAACACAACAGCAGCAGCAGTAGCAGCAACAACAACAATGCAATGAATGCAGCATTGGACTGCAAAACCAAATGGAGCCCCATCCCCCAATTAAGAGAACAATTAAGAGGCTTGCTTATGACATTGTGTAATGCTTGTTATTTGCTTCAGGCTGACCTGTTTGACTCCTCCGAGCAATGCCACTGGGTCTCTTTCATACTGTTTTATTTTATTGTGTATTTTATATGATTTAAACCTATAAAATTATGCTATTAAAATTGTAATTTTTACAAAGGAATCTGTATTTACTGCCTCTGTTGGATCCTCCCCCTCCTCCTCCTCTCCCTTTTCCTCTTCGTCATCATCTCCTCCTCCTCCTCCTCCTCCTCCTCCCCCCCCCTTCTCGTCCTTCACCTCCTTTCTTTCCACCTCTGTTATATCCTGGAGGCAACAGAACAATTTTAATTCCTTATTTTGAGTTTGGATTACCATTGCTGAGATGCTTGCGTAAAAACTGTATGCATTTGTCTGTGTGTGTTTAATTTTTCTCTTTTTGTTGGGGTAATGGCATTATTTGATAGCTGGAAAAGGAATAATTAAGTCAAGAACCACTGACCTATGGTAAGGCAGACCGATCTCAGGACTAAATATTGTGGTTTCCCTTTTCCTAGCTTCCACTGAAGGATCCTCTGAAAAAAGAGTTTCCCCTTGAAGGTGATTCCAACCATCATGGGGATATTTTGGACAACCTTATGCTTCCTGGTATATGGTAAGTTCCCTGTTTTGTATTAGTATCAGCTCTAGGAAGTAGACCAGATTAGGAAACCAACCCCACAGGAAGATATTTCTTCATTGATGTAGGCTACCAACATGTATCTTCCAAATCTAGTTTTGCGTCTCCATTTCCACTTTGGGGAGCTGGGGAAGAACCAACCTAAGTCTCTTCTCAATCGAAGAGAATAGGAGCCGTGGTGGCAGAGTGGTTAGAATGCAGTATTGTAGGCTGACTGTGCTGACTGCCAGCATTTCGATCCCGAACTGGCTCAAGGTTGTCTCTGCCTTCCATCCTTCCAAGGTGGGTAAAATGAGGACCTTGATTGTTGAGGGCAAGATGCTGACTCTGTAAACCACTTAGAGAGGGCTATAAAAGCACTGTGAAGTGGTATATAAGTCTAAGTGCTTTTGTTCTTGCTATATTTGTAGCTCAGGGGTGAACTCAGGAGCCCTTGGTGCTCTCTGAGTTTGGTGGTTTTCTTGCAGATGTTTCCTTACCCAACTAGGTACCATCATCAGTGCTAGAAGGGAGTGAGGCTTGCTGTCTGTTTACTTATTGGTGGATTGCTGTCAATGTTGTTGGGGTTATCTACAATCAATACTGACAGAGCAACCCACTTGCATACAAAAAGAGACCAACCCCATTCTCTTCAAACATTGATGATATTAGCTAGTCAGGTAAAGGAACATCTGCAAGAAAACAATCAAGCTAAGTATTTTCTCAATACTATCTCCTTTTCCAGGACTTAAGCAATGCTTCTGTCCTTTTTGTTCACCAAATGGTTTCCGAATATTTGCTTCAAGGCCACATCTATGACTCTTTACATAGTAGAAGTATGGAACACTAAATATTCCCTTGCTGAAATACTTTCCAGGGAACTTCAGCAATTGAACATTGTTAAAAAAAATGCAGTCAATCAATAAACCTACCAATAACTAAAGAGAAGTGCATTGAGGCATTGTGATGAAGATGAGATGAGTTCTCTTGGGCAAGTTGTACTGAAGTACAAAGTAGATATGTTTCATTTTGAGCCTGTACAAGGAAATTGTCAAGCGCTGGGAAATAAAAGAGATTCAGGCAGGAGTATAAAGATTTATTGCATGCGTAAGCTCTCTACTAGATTCTGACCAACTCACGAATCAAGGGAAATGAATGGGAGATAAAAAAGGCATTCTAAGTGGGCTGAACTTAGATATCTGGGGCATGTAGGGACTCATGACTTATGACATGTTTGACCTCTCCTCTAAGGTTTCAGCCTGGTCATCTCCCATATAATTACTGCAGTGATTGCACTCTTACTCATCCCTCTGCAGATCTGTTCTGACCGAGGCTTCCAAAGAGCACGAAGCAACTCCTGGTCCCAACCCCTTTTATTAATTTACTGTGAATTCTGCTCATTCACATCCAGCAAAGTCTTCAAAGGGAGGATTTACAGTCATAGTCCTTATCTGGCTTGGAGAGCTGCCAGGCCGATATCAGCAAAACTTGGCAAGGAGTCTTGGAGAATCACAAGCCAATTAAGCGAATTAATTGTTTCTCCTGAAACTCCACTCCCCTTTTACTCCTCTTTTATTTTCTCTGGGAGGGGCCATTCATCGTCCACCTGTGGCCTTACTCCCAAGGTCACTCCTGTTCTTTAGCTGTTCCTGTCATCTGGCAACTCTGCGCATGCGCACACTGGGAACAGGCTCCAATTGTTCGTCTGCCTCACTGATGTCTGACTCTGAAGGCAGCTGATCACCGGCATACAGCTGTGGCCCCCTCTCTGCCTTTGACACAGAGCCATCATCAAAGCCTTCCCCAGACTCCAGGACTGGTCCATGTTTCTCCCCAACCTCCTCACTGTCCGAATCTGTTGCTAGCTCCGCTAGCCAGTGGCGGGCGACAACAAGATCACAGACGCATTATCAGTGACTGAAGAGCTGCATGTAGACTTTAACCTTGATCAAGGTTCTGATCCATCCATTCCCAGTGTGTGGCTCCTACAGAGTTTCCATTCTGTCAATGTGTCAGAAGCTGATATTCTTTACTCTTCATAAATGGTTGGCTTCCATCTCCTACAGCCCAATGCTCGGTGTTGGCAAGATCTGACATCTCATTACCTCGAGGTTCTCCAACCATGGGGAATGCAACTCATACACCATGTCATAAAATTCTTCAACCCTGCTTTATCTCTAACTCAGCACTTCATACCCAGTGCTTCCTGAAGGACTATAATCACAGAGTTAGTTTGATTAGAGTTAGCCAAGTTTCATCAATCTCCAGCAAGAGAAATACTTGGTACCAAAGTCGAACAAGACCCCCAAGATAATTAACAAAATTAATTATATTAATTGTATAACACCTAAGATAATTATATTAACAAATAATTAATGTAATATATAACTATTTGAGTGGTAGAAAAACAAATATAGTTCACTCAGGAAATGCACTCACAAGTATTCTTTGGACATACCATATAGACTATAAGGATAAAGACTATCAGTCTTCAGATAAGGAAGGGGAAGAAATTTGTATAAAGTACCAGATATCTTCAGTGTTTTATTATAGTGCAGTAAATAAGGCCATTTCAGAATGTTTGGAATATGAAATGGGCTTTGTTTTTTTCAAGTCTGATAATTGTTAGGAACTTGATTAATGTCATCTTAAGTTGTTCATATTTTCAGTTTTTAATGCAACCAGAGAATCCCGCTGTGAGGGAGAGAAGCAGTTTGTAAATTTGATAAATAAAGAAATTAAAAAAAACATTTCGAAGTATGGTTTCGAAAGAAGTATTCTAGCAGCATAACACGAATCTTGCTTTGTAGAAAACAGCTTTAAAACTGTTCACACGACACATTCCTCCTAACTGGGGAAAGATTCACAGGACAGCCAACTAACCTTGGTTAGTTTAAATTTTGCTTAGCTTTTGGAGGTTTCATTCTGTTGTACCAACCCAGCCAACTTTATGATTTATTGTATTTGCAAATTCAGGGAATTAATTAATTTAAGAAATGAGTGGCATGTGTTATAGAAAGGCAGAAGTCCAAAATACATTTCTGTTGTTTTTGTCATTCTCTCAGTGGTCAAAGAGTCAGGGACAAAGTTTGTTCTAATGTTAACTACAATTAGACTAAGTGCATATTTCTCTGCCAAGTTATTTCATCTTTTCTCTTTTAAACTCATGTTTTCTGTTTTTCTTGAAGAGAAGGTCAGCTTGCCCTCTCGTCTTCTAACAAATGGATTTATCATTTAGTCTGGAATTCATCACATTTCATGGTTGATGATTAAATAGGAATACCTTCCAAGAGCAAATGGATTCCCACCCTACCCACAATTAAGAGAATCATACAGCCTTTACCGAATCCATGCTTGTGTTCTGGGAGGAAAAAAAGATGAAAATGTGCAAATTATTGCACTGTTTCTCCTTCATTACAAATGCCAGTTGGGTTCTATTGGTGCAAACAGTGGTGGAATTCAAATAATTTAACAACTGGTTCTCTGCCCTAATGACCAGCTGGGTAGGCGTGGCTCAGTGGTCATGTGACTGGGGGGGGCAACTCAACATCACTCACGTTGATGGGCGCTTGGCCTTAGCTGTAACAATGCAATAAGGGTTAACCGGGGAGGCAGTTCCTATAAGCAGGACAATCAATATTAGGCTAGAAACATCAGAATGTTTCCTTCCTGCCTTCCTTACAGGGTTAGCCCTGTAAAGTTGGGGGGGGGGGGACAAAATGAGATTTCTTCCAACAATCGGTTCTCCAAACTGTTCAGAAAGGTAACAACTGGTTCTCCTGAATAGGTGCAAACCGGCTGAATCCCACCATAGGGTGCAAACCTTTGTTTTAGACAACAGTGGTTATTAACTCTCACTGTGATAATCACACATTAATAGAGATAGATGACAAACACAATTTGTCTGCAATTTGTTCTGGAGAGGGCAAGAGAGGGCATCCTGCAGTCCCGAAGTCCTTCCTTTGCAAACCTTGGGGTCCTTCCAAACATTCATGGTGCAATTTTTCAACAGAAGGTCGGAGGGAAGCCACATAAGCAATAGTGTACGTTAAACATTAATGCCATTTTTAAAAAAACAATGACAAAAAGAAGCAAAAACTAAAAGCACTGTTGGCTCTTTGAGGTAGGCCAGGCCAGGAAACAGACACCGCAAGGGCTACTGGAACTCTATTTTTATTCTTGCAGATGTATTAGCAGAATCTTGAAAGACTGATAGAGTTTCATGTCTCCCTCCCTTTTATATCAAGGAGAGTAAAGGCGGGGTGATTCTTGAGTTTCTTTCTCACTTTCTCTTCCTTTCCTGGGTCAAGCTAATGGTTGTATGTATATATACAGTGTGTGTGTGTGTTTGTGTAGTTAGATGATAGATAGATAGATAGATAGATAGATAGATAGATAGATAGATAGATAGAGCCAATAAAAGAGAATATTTGTAACTCAGGGTTGAATTGAGGGGTCCTTGGTGCTCTCTGAGCTTGATTGTTTTCTTGCAGATGTTTCATTATTCAAACTAGGTAACATCAACAGCACTGATGATGTTACCTAGTTTGGGTTATGAAATGTCTACAAGAAAACCAGCAAGCAAGCATGGAGAACACCAAGGACTCCAAGAGAGAGAGAGAGGGAGGGAAGGAGGGAGGAAGAAAGAGAGAGGGAGGGAGTGGGAGGGAGGAGATGGTAATAGCTGCTGCATACCTTCTTCAAGGCTATCTCCATATTCCTATACAAATATCAGGTGCAAAAGATCACATCCACACATGTGGCGGTCCAAATAAATTGATTTACTGCTACTTATGACTATACACAGGAATATTCTCAACTAATGGTTAACACCAGCTACGAATTAGATAAGGGTCCACAGAATTCAAGAGGGGTTGGGTTTAGTCTATTTGTGGTGATGCAGCAACTCTAAGCTGATGCCTCTTTTGACTCCTCCTCCAGGCTCTGCTCTCCTTCCTCTAGATCACCTACCTTTCTATTCCCTCCCTGTGCCCCCAGGCTCTGCCCCAAAGCTTCTTAAGTTCTAATTCAAGTAGCCTGTCTATTCAGCGGTCTACAGAACAGCATGATAGAAATGGGAGATTTCTGACACCTTGGCTCAATCTGAGCCACCACCCAAGGCCTTCAGATCATGTGCAAGCACATTCCTTCTCTTCTCGAGCTCTAGAACTTCTCTGAAGCTATTGTTCTCTTCTTTCACCCACAACTAGAGCTTTTCGAGAAGGGCCTCCAGCTCTTTTGTTGCCAAGGTTGCTCCATTTTCACTGAGCTATTAAAAGTTTAGGAATCTCATAAATCCTAGATAGATTCACGAGGCTCTTTATCGAAGGAGAGAGTTTTATTAAGACGATAATTCAGAGCTCAAAAGCAGATCGCTCTTTCTTTAGCCTGCCAAGTTTCAACAAGATGATAGGTCTGATTGTTGATACAGCAGGCAATGTTCAATTAAATAAAACCTGTGATGTCTTAAAGAGATTAACTTGTTTGGGACAATCTGCAAAGGTAACAGTTGGGTTCCCTGTCCTACCCTGTCACATTTTAGCCTAGGCTGGCATATTATCTGTGTTCATAGTAGCACCATCAATACTCACTGTCTCCTCAGGGGCCTGGGTAGAAATTTTAGAAATTAGGTAGTGGAAGAGGGTACAGCTAAGAGGAATACCTAGATTGAGCATCCAAGAAGCAGACACTGACAGAGATAAAGATTTAAGAGAGGAGTTTGGGAGGCAAGTAAAAAAAAAGCATAGCAATTAAGATATTGAAGAGGGCAAGAGACGATGGATAGATGATTTTCTTTTTTCTTTTTGTTTTGATTTGCTTTTCCATTTCCCTCTCTCTTTTTTTAAAGCATAGCAATTGAAGCACTGAAGCGGGCAAGAGACAATGAATGATTTCTCTTTTTTGTTGTTGTTTTGAATTGCTTTTCCTTTTTTTTCTCTTTTCTTTCTTTCTTTTTCAAGCTGGGTGACATGATTAAAAGTTAGATAGCAAAGAAAGAAAAAAGTCTTTTAATGAAGGGTGATTAAAAGCTAGAATAAGTGACAGAAATAAGAGAAGGGGAAATATTAGTGTATACATTTTTATATAATACAATGAAAGTAATAACAAGAGAAAACGTGGAATAATTGAACAATGATAGACTGCAACCTAACATAAATGTGTATTATTATAATACATACATAAGTTGATTGAATGTCGTAATTATGATTAACCTTATTAGTTTTATTTGTATTAGAATGTATGACACCCAGGTGTCACATTGGTCACGCATTGATTTGATAGATTTATTTTTAAAAAAAATGAAGTAAGAAGTAAGGGAAGGAAGAAGGGGAAGGAGAGGAGGAAGGAAGGAAGTAGAGAAGAAAGGGAGGGAGAAAAGAAAAAAGAGAGAAAATAAGGTGGTGTCATAGCAGGTGTGAAGGATGGTAAATAATACATTCCAAATTACACCTTATACCCTTTTAAATGTAATAATAATAATATAAGAATGGCAAAGAAAAAGAATAATTATGTGAATGTATACCTATAACTGCATGTAAGAAAATAGATGACAGTAAAAATATAAAGCATAATATAGGTAAATAATACTTGATCATAAGTAGCTAAGTATAAATAAATAAAGAAATGTATATAAAAATGGATAATGAGTAACGAGATTACGAACGCAAGATAGAAATGTATAGAAAGGAAAACACTAACTGCAAAGAAACCGATTCGGAACTGCTGTATGATATACGATGGAACGTATTGTTCCTATGTTGTTTTTAAGTTATGTGGTTATTTTTGTTAATGTGTTTATGTGTTCTATTGATGTGCTTATGTGTATAAAAAAAATAAAAATAAAAAAATAAAAAAAATGAAAAACTTGGGGAAAAATACTCACTGTCTCCTGATTTCTAACCTAGCATTGAATACAGACCAGGGTGTCCTGGCTATCATGAGCTCCCAGCCCCAGAAGGACTCAGGAGACCTTGACAATCCTTCAGAAGACACCATCTCCCCAGAGATGCTGCAGGAGATGCTATGGCTTTTCCGAAGAGAAGATCGTAAGTGGTTCCAAGGCTTTAACCACATAATTTGTCTGGATTAGGCTGAGTCCTCTTTGTTCAGGTTTTGGAGCTGGAGTAGTAGGGGACTTGTGGGGAGCATGGTTCTTTTCTTGCAGAGTTTTCATTCACCATCTAGTAGGTCAATGGCCACCAACCTTTTGGGCATCAGGGAATGGTTCCATGGAGAGAGGTTTTCCCATGGACTGCAGGGAGTGTGGTTTTGCATATTACCTGCATCCCATAGATGGGCTTCGCTTGTTTGCGCGGACCAGTTGCTGGCATGCCCAGTCCGCTGATCATGGGTTGGGGACCCCTGATCTAGGTAACCTCATCAGTGCTGGTTAGTGTGGGGTTTGCTCCCAGTTTACATAGAAGAGCTTGCCCTGCTGGTGCTGTGGGTTTCTCAGAATAGTTCCTTGATTCTCCCTGGTACCATGGGGCATGATGGCACAGTGATTAGAATGCAGTACTGCAGGCTGCTTATACTGGCTGCTGGCTGCCAGCAATTCGGCAGTTCGAATCTCACCAGGCTCAAGGTTGACTCAGCCTTCTGTCCTTCCAAGGTGGGTCAAATGAGGACCCAGGTGGTTGGGGGCAAGATGCTGATTCTATAAACCATTAAAGAGAGGGCTGTGAAGCACTGTAAAGCGGTATATAAGTCTAAGTGCTATTGCTATTGCTACTTCCTTAATCAAGGAACTACCAAGGAGAAATCCATACCTTCAACCAGGACAAGTCAGGTACGAGACACCAGAAGGAATACAAGAATTGTATTCTATTGTTGTAGGGCAGGGGTGCCAAACTCAAGGCCCATGGGATGTTTTCAACCTCCATGGACTCTTGCAGCACTCCGCCAGCCAAAAACGGGTGATGCAGAGGCCCTGCAAGGCCCCTGCGTGACTCACTTTTGGCTGGCAGAGTGCTGCTGGAGGCTAGGAAGGCAGAAAACGGGCTGTGCGGAAGCCTTGTGGGGCCTCTGCTTGGCCTATTTTTGGCCGGCAGAGTGCTGCTGGAGTCATCTGTCCCATCCCGCCCCCACTACCCCACCTGCTGGCCCACGGAGAACTACAGTGCTGATCCGGCCCTTGAAGAAATCCAGTTTGACACCGCAGTTGTAGAGTATAATAACACAACCTTGAAAGTTTAGTAGAGTTTTCCCTCTGTCCCCTCTTACATTAAGTGGAATCAGGGTGGTGTTCTTTTGAATCTTCTTCATGCGCCCCCTCCTTTCGCAGGGCTGAAATGTCATTGGGTGTCTCTTATCTGCTAACAATTAACAATTAACCAGGGAATAAAGAACATGTAAACAGTTGAGCAGAGCTTGCCTCCAGAAGCTGTGGGTGCTCCATCCCTGGAGGTATTTAAGAAGTGATTAGACAGCCATTTGTCATGAGTGGTGTAGAGTGTGGCAAGGGGTTGGACTAGAAGACCTCCAAAGTCCCTTCTAACCACATTATTCTGTTATTCCTTTACCGACTTTAACTCTGTCTTCTTCTATAAGGAGCAAGTCAAATAGTCAGCATGGTGGCTGCAGATGTGTAACTGAAGCTTCACCCCAGAAGATTGTCCTTGCAGCTGCCATCTTGACTTTTGTGACTCATTCCTTACCTTCCACAGATGCCCTAAAAAGGTAAGACAAAACTGAAGATGAGAAGATTATATAAGCCTCCTTGAACATCTGGAATAGAATAGAATAGAATAGAATAGAATAACAAAGTTGGAAGAGACCTTGGAGGTCTTCTAGTCCATTCCCCTGCTTAGGAACGAAACCCTACACCACTTCAGACAAATGGTTATCCAACATCTTCTTAAAAACTTCCAGTGTTGCAGCATTCACAACTTCTGGAGGCAAGTTGTTCCACTGGTTAATTGTTCTAACTGTCAGGAAATTTCTCCTTAGTTTCTTAGGACATTAACCCATCCACATGAATTCCTTATCATTTTCTCTTTCAGCATCTGCATGGAATTACTCTATCCTGGGCCTTTCCATTGTTGTTCTGCTCATTGGTGTTGTGCTCCTGGGAGCAAATATTAGGGCCAACAGGTATGAAGAAGTCATATTTTGGAGTGATAATATTGGGCTTTGGCTTGGCATTCAGTGTGCCTCTGAATACAGGACTCCATAGTGGCAAGACGAATCCAATTCTGAGTTTGCTCAGTGTATTAAACTCCATCCTAATCAAACCCTTTAGGATGGTGGAACAAACAGAGGCTCAAAACCCACCACAGTTAAACTACATTAACTAAAGTTGCTAGTTCTCTTCATAATTTAGTTAGGTAAGTTAGGTAACTAACCTGGCCAACTGTGCTTATTTTCACTGCAGACATCTGTGGAGATTTTCAATCATCATCCAGGTCATGGTTGTCTCCAAAGTGTTTTTTTCCCCCCCCAAAAGACATCTGGACTGTTTTTTTTCACCTTGAGGAAGACGTTTTGCTTCTCAGCCAAGAAGCTTCATTGATTCCGGCAGGATGGTGGGGGTGATGGAAGAATTAGAACCTCTTCCTCAAGGGGAAAACAATAGTTGGAAGAAAACTCCAGTCCGGTTCCAAGCCAGGAGAAAGGCACTGGAAGTAAAATGGAGGCTGGTTGGAAAGTTTATCGATGAGAAGAACCAAGAACAGCATGTAGTTCTGGGGCAGCTGACAAAATGGGCTTGGGATAGTTGGCTTTTATATATTTTGGGGAGTTGTTTTGACCTAGGCTTCCCCAAAAAGCATGAAGCAGAGTCCTGGTCCCGACAAAAGCCCTTTTATTAAACGAATATGAATTCCTCTCATTCACATTCAGCAAAGGCCTGGCAAAAAGTCTTTCAAAGGAGTATTTATGACTACAGACCTTATCTATCTTGGAAAGCTGCCATGGAAATATTTTCCAAATGAGGTGCTGTGCAAGGAAAAACCTGGCAGTAGAACCTGTCCTTCTTAATCCCATCAACTGGAGTTGAAGGTGTTTTATTTGTGAATAGGCTGGCCCAATCTTTCTTAATGGGCACAAATTATCCATCTCTAAAGACTTTGGGCATCTGCTGGAGGTTGTTGGGGCTGCTTTCTGCCTTTGTTAATATTTTTTTCCCATTTGTTCTTTGGGGAGATATAATATTCTGCCTCTTTTAATATTCCCCAAAATAGTTCATTCTCGGGAGGGGGAGGGTGGATGGGCTTCCTACACAATCCAGTTTCCTTTTGGGAAAAAAAAAACACTTTTGAGATTTCACTGTAGGCCTTCAAACTACATACATACTGTATTTTTCAGAGTATAAGACGCACCGGAGTATAAGATGCACCAAGGTTTTGAAGATGCAATTGTTTTTTAAAAAAAGTAGGTAGGTAGATAGAGGGATAGAGAGGGAGAGAAATACAGTAGGTAGGGAGGGAGAGGGAGAGAGTAGTTAGGTAGGTAGGTAGATAAAGGGATATATATATAAGTTCAACTTCTTCTGAGCTGGTTTAGTGTAAGGGTTAAGCCACTAGACTAGAAACTGGGAGACTGTGAGTTCCAGTCCTGCCTTGGACACAAAGCTATCTTGGGCCAGTCACTTTCTCTTAGCCCTAGGAAGGAAGCAATGGCAAGCCACTTCTGAAATCTTGCAGTGATTAGTTCCCAGGAATGAAAAACTAACTCCAAGGCACACATATCCAAAGAGCCAAGCCCCAAAAATGCTTTTTCAAAAGGCAGCTGGACTTTGTTTTTGTACTTTTCCCTTGAAGATGTTTCGCTTCTCATCCAAGAAGCTTCCTCAGCTCTGAAGCTTATT